TTGGAAGGTAGGATTATAAAAGTACTTTCACTAATATCACATTTTTACAAAACCCTCCATTAGAATGCCAAGGAGACAGTCTTAACCTGAGATGTGATTTTGACTTGTAGTGTGTTCCCTTATCAAAATGCACTCTGCAGAAGACCAGAAAGAACACTTCTCCTAAGTGAAGTACCAGAAGGGACCACTTGTATGTGGTCCAGATGCTGCAGGGTAGATGGTGTCAGTTCTGAAACAAGGTTCTCCAGGGGATGGATACAAGGAAAGACAAGAGAACACCTCTAGCTTCCCTACGGGAATGGTTACTTACCAAATATTTAACTAATTTCCCTTTTGGACAGAAGAGGTGTTTTAAGAGCAATTCTTTTTTTTAAAGATTTTTATTTATTTATTTATTTATTTATTTTAGAGAGGGAAGGGAGGGAGAAAGAGAGAGAGAGAAACATCAATGTGCGGTTGCTGGGGGTCATGGCCTGCAACCCAGGCATGTACCCTGACTGGGAATCGAACCTGCGACACTTTGGTTCGAAGCCCACGCTCAAACCACTGAGCTACACCAGCCAAGGCTTAAGAGCAATTCTTAAAAGAAAATTTGACTACTTATAGTAGCAATTATTGTTGGCTATATATAAGGTATTTCAAGTGAATTAGGCTTCATGGAAAACACATACTTCACAACATTCCTGTTTGTCTAGCCTGCACAGAAGAGCTTCCACTAACCCAGATCGGGTGGCATGTAACACGCATGAATGCTGTTTACTGAGCAACTAGGTGTCTGTGCTAAGTACTGGGGTTATGGTGGTGATCCGCCACCTGATCTCCACAGCCATTTTTATTTCCTTCTCTCTTTCTCCTTGTGAACATACTTACTGACTAAAGAAAAAAAGTCCCTGAAAAAGAAAAAGAAAAGAAGTCCCTTAAAGTCCTGTGCTTTTCCTTTGGGGAAAATGTCTCATATTGAGTAGGGCGCACGTGTTGCATCCCTTCCTCCCTCCTGTTAGATTTCTCAGCAATCCACACCGAGGAGTCAGCTTGCTCCCTGCATTCTCTGGGCTGTCTCAGCGAATGCAGCAGTGCATAGCAGAGAGCAGAGAAAATCTCCATTCCTTCACTTTACAGTCCTGAGGCCTGAGTGAATTATTGAACTCTCTGCCTCTCAGTATTTTCGTCAATGAAAATAGGATTTTAATACTTCCTACCTCATAGGGCTGCTACGATGATTTAATATATACAATGTAATTATAATAGTACTTGGCATGGAATAAGTGCTCAATAAATACCAGCTTGTTAAATTACCATTTTGAAGAAAGAGCTATATAAGTATGCATAGATATTTCACATAGCACCTGCCATGTGAAGATAGGGCATGTTAAGACAACATTCTTTTCAACATAGAAATTTATTAGGATGAACTCTTCAAACCAAAGCTTCTCTTAACTATCTGACTTAGAAAATTCAAACTGTCATAAAAAAAGAGATGCAGAAAAAATAAAAAGAACTCTCAGATCATAATAATGAATTAGCTTTAACCTTGATAAGAAAATAAAAGATAAAAATGTTGAAGTGATTAGACTCTGATTAACAAGAAAAAAATGAAATAGATATCATTTCAGAAAATAACTGAAGCTCTTACTGTCTATATAGGTTGATCCTGGAAACAAGTCACTCCTCTGGAAATACAGAATGACCTTTTATTGTTGTTGTTGTCTTTACATATTTTTTTCATACAGAGGTGTATACATTAAAATTCGATAACATTTGGTCTATATATACCACATGGCTGGAAACTGGTATAAAAATTGGAATTCACTATTTTATTTTATATTTTAAAATGATGTATTACACTTGGTTGTAATGCAGCACAAGAGTCACTGCTACCGTTCAAAAGCAGAAGTATCTGCATGACCATGTAATGGCTGGAAAGAACCTAGAGTTCGGCTGAGTGAATGTTGGAACAGTCAGGGAAGACGGGGGATGGGAAAGGGTGGAGGGAAGAGATGTGGATGTCCGGGCTGCTAGTCTGCGTGGGACAAAGGGTATGCTCCCCCTCCCCTACCTTTCTGACATCACCCTCCCAGCTCTGCAGGTTCTAGCCAGTTCTGGCTCATTAATCCTCAGAGCAACATCTCTGCACTGGGGAGGCTCTTCTCCCACTGTCCTTGGTCCCCAGTATCCCTTCTTTCCCACAAAATGCAATGCAGTTTGGGGTCTCAGGCAAAGTACAACATCATGAGTACAACTTAAGTGAAGACCCAGACTGAATTCGACTGACAGAGTGGATTCGCTGCTCACTATGTCAGCATCTGGCCATAAGAACTTTCCATCATCACTCTCTTGCTCACTGAGCTTAACACAAGCAGGCCCCTTTGTTGTTCTTTGAACACACTGAGCATGTTCCTGTCCTAATGTTACAGAACAGGGCCAAGGGGGGTACAATATACTATTACTGAAAGGACCACCCACTAGGTTCACTTGTCCAACGCCAGAGGAAAGGTGTCTCTTAATGCCAGAGACTTGTGAAAAGTAAAGGAAATGTTTATTTAAAGCTATACAGACTTAAAGTGGTGACCTAATGTCTTCATTTAAATATCAAAGTCCTTTAGGATACCCACAGCCTCACACAGTCCTTTCTTCTCCTTCTGCCCTAATCTGGGGTACCATAACTCAGGAAAAGAAGTAGAAGTCTGTGATTCAGGCTCCTGGCACCATCAGCTGTGTCGTCGTCAGTATCTCCAATATATGCAAAGCCATGTGGCACCTTCTCATGACCCACCAGCAAAAGTCCTTGTGCCCCTTTTTCTTCCAGGCAAGTCTCTCCTACTTCCTAAGCCATGTGGCCAAAAGGAGCACCCAAAAGCTGCATGGTTCCCCCCTTCAAAGCTGCAGGGTTCCCCATTCTCTCCAAAACTGTGTGGTTCTCTTTTCAATGGCTGCTGTGTCTGGGTTTAAATCCCCACACCAATCTTCCTCTGCACCCCCTTTTCCAACCCCTCCTACAGTCAATTACACCTGCCAGCATTCCTGTATTATTCCAAGTTTACTGGGCTGCCATCATGAGCCTAGGCAGGTGTGGCCCCATGTCATGGAGCCAATCTTTTCCAAGCTCTCATGCAGGCGCTGTAACCAGGGGGAGTTGCCCCCCAGTTATATCTTGAGTGGAAGTCACTTCCATCCCCCGGCTCAAAGCATGGCCACAGCTATTTGACATATCTATGCAACCAGTTAAAGGTTATAGATATGTTAAATGACCATGCCAGAGGTTAGCTGCAAAGCTGTTGCTGTACAAAACGGCCCTACATGTTCATGCTCCATGGGTCCCTTCCCCCAACTCACACCTGTGGGGGGACGGGGTGAGGACATCCTATATATCTTTCTAATATTTCCTGGACACTCTGAGTTCTGGACCTCATTCTAAATCCCTATTTGGCCCCCCCCTTTGGCTGCACCCTGTTACACTAAGGCCTTTGCTCTTGTTCCCCTTTTATTAGAATGTTCTTCCCCAGACATTGGCCTGACCTTGCTGTGTCTTTTCATTTAAGTTCCTGTTCATATACCTTTTGCATGGAGAGGTCTTCCCTGATGACAGTATCTAAGGAAGCACTCCTTACTTGTTTTTTCTTCACAATACTTATTAACTGCTAGTACACATTTACATGATTGTGAATAGTCACCTCTACCAAAATTTAAGCTCTAAGCATATTCTTGCTGTAATTTCTGCATCCAAAACAGTATCTAGAATATTGCAGGAGATCAATATATACCTGTTCAATGACCCAACCAAAAGTTGCTGGTCACATAACAGGTGTTCAATGAGTATTTGTGGAAAATCGTATTGACTGAATTAATGTATACATACTTCATGCTAGTTTCAAAACAATCCCATTATTTTGTCTTAAATTTACTTCCAATTACTAATTTGACCAGACTTGAGATGCCATGGACATTTCTTTCTCTCTCTCTCTCTCTCTCTCTCTCTCTCTTTCTCTCTCTCTCTCCCCCCCACCCCCATCTCTCTTGGGAGCAAACACTCTCCTTTCCCCTTCTCCTTCCCCCAGGCACATTCTCTCTGCTCCACCCCCCCCCTCCCCCCTCCCCAAGGGCCCTTCTTTGCTTCTGTGACTTGTTTCCTGAGCCCACGCAGCCCAGCTGGCTCACCTTTTCTACCTCTGTGACTTTCTAAACAAACTTTCTCTTATAATTTGAGTTCCCTGGTGAGTCCTTTCTTTGCCAAACTCAAGTACCAGAGGCCCTTGAGTTACAAGTACCTAGTACCAAGGTTGCTAAACTGAGGTCTGGTAACATTTCTTGTGCTGTTTTGCTGCTAACAACTTCTATAAAGAAGACTTAATGATTAAGGTTACCTTTCAGAAGAATCAAAATTAGAATTCTAAAAGATGCAGTGCATCAAAGCAGTAGCTAGAGGTAAACCCACTAGGCAGTCAGTAAGAGTCAGAGAGAGAAGACATACACCATTAGCATTCCTAATCTAACATGACCACGGCTGAACAATGCTGAACAAGGTGAGGCTTTATTTAAAACAGCCCTTTTGCACCCACTTACAAAGTTGCTAAACTGGTTTCTGTTTCCTTTGTGGGTGCTTTGATCAAAGAAGAAAAAGCACGTCTTGGCTAGTCACTCGGTACTGAGAGTTGATTTTTAATGGAAAAGAAACAGATATATCAGGATTATTGACCTTCACAAGAGCCCTAACTTAATGTGCCTCAAAGCTACCCACACATGGGCAAATGACTTCCTTCCCTTACCACGCCTCTGTTTTTTTTTCTTTGAGATATGAGAAATGCACCTGGACTAACCTGCAAGCCATGCCAAAGGCAGAGGTGTAAGTCCTAGATCTTTGATAAAAAATAGTACACGTAGCAGTCTTTAGTTGCCCACAGAAACCACCAATAAGGTGGCCAAACCATGATCCATCTGTCATTAGGCTACTGAAGGTTTACCCCTAAAGCACATAAACTCAGAGGAGCCTTCATAAAACAGATACCTTAAAAATCAAGTTAAATGGTGGGGCTTCATTGTGGTGGCAAAGTTAGGGGCTTTGAATGACTTTCAGGTGAGTTTGAATGATCTCTCTGCTATCCACTGTGTTCCTTTGGCTGAATTGCATAGAGCTTTGTAACCCTCTGCTGCCTCCCTTGTAAAATGGAGAAATAACGTCTACCTGCCAGGGTCCTGAACTAGGATTAAAGGAGGTAATGTATGTAGACTGTCTACGTACAATGTCTGCCATATGGTAGGTGCTCAAAAATAATTGCCTGAGCCCTTCAGCATGCTGACAAAGACTGATTTAATGCAAAACAAAAGGGCTCCTTTAAGGTGGGAGGATTGATTTGAGGCAGAGGGGACAGAGAGATGGGACCTGAGACTCAGTGGGGGTGCTGGCACACATCAGGGAAGCAAGGAAGGGAAGCAGGAGGCGGGAGTCCAGGCAAGGGCAGAAAAAGCTTGAACTTGGCCAGTCCCAGTGTGGGAGCCGACTGGCTGGGGAGTGACTCCCAGTGTTCACATCTGTGTGACGGAAAGGGTGGTGTTGCCGTGCAAGCCAGGAGGGAGGAGGGGGTAGTTTGAGTTAAAAAATGGTTATTCGAATTCTGGACATGTTTTCTTTTTTCATTTTTATTTTACTTTATTTATTTTGCTTTTTCTTAATTTTATTTTTTAATTACAGTTGGCATACCATGTTAGATTAGTTTCTGGTGCAGATGTTCTTTTTTTTATTGCCTTTCAGTTACAGTTGTCCCAACTTTTCCCGACTGCTCTCCCCACCCTGCCCATCCCCTGCCCCCACAGTCAGTCCCCACCCTGCTGTCCATGCCCATGAGTCCTTCATACGTGTGTTCTTTAACGAGGCCCTTCCCCTTCTTTCCCCCCTTGTCCCACTGCCCCCTCCCCTCTGTTTCCAAGGACACTGGGAATATCAGGGGAAATTGCCCAGTCAGGCTGGACAGGGGGTACTTTAAGCTGGACAGAAAGGAGAGCACTCCAGTTCACTTTAGGGAGTCAGCGACCTATAGGTGAGGTGATGCCATAGCAGAAAATATCCCGAAGAAAGGGAGAAATGCAGAGAGAAGAGGGAACAGGAAAGTTCCCTCTTCTTTACCGTTCAGCTTTAAAGGCAGAGTGCCAAACAACTGTTTGTAAAAGGTGTTGGAAGGCATTGTGGGAGGGTTCTACACTCATCCGGTTGGTTTCTGGGACATCGCTCAGCTAGCATCTTCTTACTAGAACAACAAAAAGCATTCAGACAGGATTTCTTTTTTTCTAGGGGGTTGAGAGTAGCAAACCCTAACACCCCCTGTGTGTTTACTCAGTGGCAAGCACCCTGGTGTGGTAGGGAGAATAAAGACCTCTGCAAGTGTTGTCCTGATCCCCAGAACCTATGAATATGTGACCTTACATGGCAGAGGGGAATCAAGGTCGCAAAGCAGTTGGCCTCGAGATAGGATATTATCCTGGTGGCCCAGAGTCATCACAAAGCTCCTCATAGATGGAAGAGGGAGACAGGAGAGTCAGTGTCTGAGTGATGGGACCCGAGAAAGACTTGACTGAAAATTGCTGCCTTTAAAGATGTCAGGGGCCAAGGGTTTGAACGAGAAACATCTAGAACCCTCTAGAAGCTAGTAAAGGCAAAAAAAGAAAAGAATCCTCCCCTAGAACCTCCAGAAAGAACGCAACCCTACCCACATACTGACTTTAGCCGAATAAAATACATTTTGGACTTTCGACCAGCAGAACTATAAGACAATAAATTTGGGTTGTTTCAAGCAACACGCTTTTTGGTAATTTGTTACAACTGTAACAGGAAACCAATACAAAGATGTATTAACTAATACATCTTTGTATTCCTTTCTGGTAAATACTCTGGTAAATGCGTACCATGCCTGAGGCAGGACCTATGGTTATCCCCGTTTTACAAACAATAAAAATGGAGGCTTAGAGAAGTCACACGCTAGTCTGACCAAAGCCCATACTCTCATCCAGTAAAACTTCTGCCCCTCCAAATTCTTCCGAAATATCTAGAGGGGAGCCTCCAATCATCATCTTTCTTTCTTAGAAAACTGCTCAATGTAGTTCTACTCTTCTAACAATACTCATACATGTCATCATATAATAGGACGACAATGGAGTATCATCACACCTAATAAAAAACAATACGCTTGCCTTTGTTAGGATGCCTCACCTTCCAACCAGAAAAGTAAAAAAGGCCTTATCACAAATAACTACGTGCCATTCCTTCAAGCTTAGTGTTTATGTTGTTTCAACCTAGATAAGAAGTAAGAGATACCCGGCTTGAGGCTTTTAGTGAAAATCTTGTTCACAATATTAAATCTTAGCTCTTTCTGTCCTGGCTCCTTCCCTACAGAATGTGGCTGGCTCAGCTAAAGCAGGCCAGCAGGCAAGCCGAGACTGACTCTTGTTGGAGAAGAAGGAAGAATATTTGCCCTGTACAAGTGGAGCTCAGACAGAAACCAAATCAGCAATGCAAGAAGCCAGCCATGCCCCACCCTGGTGTTGTAATTCCTACAGCTTTCATTTTAGTAACTCATTCCTTTAAAAAATTTTAGTTTTTAAGTGTGAAATAGTACATATTTTTATCTTTATGAATTATACAGTTATCTCTTCTAAAAACTTGCCTTTCCCAGGGACACCTTCTTCCTAACACCCCTTTCAATACAGAGGAATGATTCTGCCCTAAGGCAAATGAGAAGTCCCAGAATCTCACCTCTGTCAATTTATAAGATTTCAAAAAAATCTAAGCTGAAGAGAGCATTATGTAACTCTGACTCATTAAGTGATTGTGACCTGATGTGGCTTTTTAGCCAGAATGACATCCGGCACTGTCTCCACTGCTTTGCGGAAAGGGATGTGTGAATCATACTCGTGTGAGTGTCCACGGGCCACGCAACACAATCGCATGCATGTGCGCATGCCTACGCTGTTTAATTCATTTCTGAAATGCTTCCCTCTTGGTATATCCTGCAGGCATGTTACATAAACCTTTTGGAAACAGCTGTACGAGAACGACAACAAAAAAAACACTTAGATAACAATTATCAAAAGGAAGCCATGTCTTCTATGTCATTGCAAACAGCTGTACTACCATTTGTTAATCAGCTGTGTGCTGAAAAGGCAGCAAACAGTTTTAGTCAATAAAACTCTTCCTATCTCCTCTTTGTCCCACATTTAAAATCGTGCAATCTAACACATTATTTCATAAAGCAACTGAGATTTGTTACTGCATAAATTTCTTCATCTTTCCCTAGTGAACAAATGGATGAATTCAAAAGAAATGATTTTTAATGTTGGAAGTCACAATGAGAGTGATACCCAAAGAATTTTACAAAAAGCTAAGAACCAATATCGTATCTACCATTTAAAGAGTATGAAATTGTTTGCTGGAACATGTGTATATTTTTTTCATTTGAACCTTACTAAAGCTCTGAAAAAATATGACTCCTATTTTACAGGCAATGAAAAAGAAGGAGGAAGGTATGGTCAACACCGTTGAGCTTTGTCCCACACAGATTTTCCACTCAGGACGGCCCATCTCCATCATGCCACACCAGCACCACCATGATGTCCAAAGAGAGTTTCTTCTCGATAGTTAATAAGGTTCCTCCACATTCAAAAATGCTCTTGTTTTCCTAATAACTGGCCCCCTGCCCCGAATTCCCATAGGATGGTGGTGCTTCCTCATCCTAACACAATGGTGCCAAAGCTGCCACTGGAGGTCTCAGACCTCACCCCGATTCTGTATATATGACAGTACTGCATATTGGGGTTGGGCTCCTAATGGGTAAGGAGATCTTTTTGAAAGTACTGGCTGTTTTAAAGAAGCCTAGTCTTTTCAACTAATCTTTAAGCGCCTTGAAGATGGGACCATGTTTGTACCTGGTACATAAAAAAATTCAAATAGCTAGAGTACGATGGGTAATTTTATACATAAACTTGGCAAGGTGATATGCCCAGTTTTTTAGTCAAACGCCAGCCTAGATGTGGCTGTGAATAATTTTTAGATGTTATTAACTGAAACCAGTGAACATTCAGTAAAGTGAATTACCCCCTTAATGTGGATGGGCCTTATCCAATCCACTGAAGGCCTTAAAAGAAAAGGCTGAGGTATCCTGAAGAAGAAATAAGGCATCAAGACTGCAGCACAGGAACCCTGTCTGGGCTTCCAGACTGCCTGGCCTGCCCCTGCCAAGCTAGGACTAAAGAATGCAACATCAACTCCTACCTGAATTTCCAGCCTGCCAGCACGCTTGCCCTACAGATTTCATATGTGCCAGCTCCCACCATCACATCAGCCCATTTTTAAAAATAAAATCTCTCTAGAACACTCAAACACCAATCCAAAAGAATCTATGCATCCCAATGTTCATAGCAGCACAATTTACAATAGCTAGGTGCTGGAAGCAACCTAGATGCCCATCAGTAAATGAATGGATCAAAAAACTATGGTACATTTACACAATGGAATTCTATGCAGCAGAAAGAAAGAAGGAGCTCCTACCCTTTGCAACAGCTTGGATGGAACTGGAAAGCATTATGCTAAACGAAACAAGCCAGGCAGTGAAAGACAAATACCATATGGTCTCACCTTTAACAGGAACCTGAACAACAAAACAAAGAAACAAGCAAAATATAACCAAAGACACTGAAATAGAGGACAGGCTGACAGTGACCAGAGGGGAGAGAAGAGGGAATTTCAGGGGAGAATGGGAAGGGTTTACCGGAACAAATTTAAAGGACACATGGACCAAAACTAGGGGTGGGGGTGGTAATGGGAGGGAAGAGAGAAGGGTTGGGTGGGTGGGCTGGATTGGGAGTAAGAGGGAGAAAACTGTACTTGAACAATGATTAAAATAAAAAAAAGAAAGAGCAAAACAAAAAAAAATAAAATAAAATCTCTCTACATAGATAGAAATAATACACACACACACACACACACACACACACACACACACACACACATTTCTTACTGGTTTTGTTTCTCTGGAGAACCCTGACTAATCAATAGGGTTTGCTGAGGTTGTTGGCATGGGAGAATTTGATTCAGGAGATACTAAAGAAAACAACTGTAACTTCAAATCTGGAGCCTATCCTCTGTAAAGGTGAGGGTAGAAGTCCTGAGTGGATGGCACTTTGCAGAATACCTTAAGGTGTTATGAGAATACAAGTGTATGCTTAGGGCCCAGCCTGGGGTGGGGGTGAGGAGCTAAACAGCTGTGCAGCCTTCCCAGTTTGGGGGAGGCTGCAGAGCTGGGAGCCCGATGAGGGTTGTAGAAACAGGGTGCGGAGACCCCAGCAATGTGCTAAGAGGCTGGAGTCTGAGAGATACAGTTATCTCTTCTAAAAACTTGCCTTTCCCACTGAAATCTTCTTCCTAACATCCCTTTCAGCACAAAGGAATGATTCTGTCCTAAGGCAAATTAGAAGTCCCAGAATCTCGCCTCTATCAATTTATAAGATTTCAAGAAATCTAAGCTGAAGAGAACATTATGTGGCTCTGAGAGTCCAGCAATGTGTCAAGAGGCTTGAGTCTGAGACAGAGGTCCTCAGTGGTCAGGAAATGTCAGTACATTCTTAGAACGGTGGTGTCTGGGACTACATTTGAGTCATTTTCTGTTCTTTGCAGTAATGACCTTTACCTCTTGTTCTCTCCCATTCTTTGATCTATAACAAAGGGTGTCATATTCGCACTGTTGTTTTAGTTGTGCTTTGGCAGTCAAAAGGAAGAAAGGAGGGGTTTCCAGCCTGAACCACTTTGGGCACAGGAGTGAGCTTCTGCACCCTCTCCTCTGGGCGCTTTAGCAAAGAGCAATCATTAGAGGCAATAATGGCAGCGAAGCAGATTGAGGTAATCTGACTCAATGACAGCGATTCTCGAAAGTGGTGCAGTTTAAATTGCTTATACTTGTAAGAAAAACAGTTAGTACAGATAGCAGGCTAAGGAATACCAGTCACAGCTGAGAGTAAGAGTGAGGAGTGAGACAATCTTGAAGCTAAATCCTACCCTCACCATTTGCCAAGCAGCGATCTTGAACAAGCCCTCTCTCTGAGCAGTTTTTTACAACGGTGTCCTCATTTACAAAACTGGGTGACTTACAATCCTCAAAGTCTTCAAAAAGAGGATGCATGTAAAGCACAGAGCGGTCTGCTCAGCACATAGAAAAAACTCAAACAACAGATATTAGCATCATTAATAAAGAGCAGCCTGTAGGTTTTTATAATGTGGTTTGCAAATACCGTTTGGTTTGCAAACACCATTTAGTAACTGACACGGGTGTCTGCTGCTGGGCTGCCAAAGGGCTTCTTTCCCTCTGGGAGGCAGGCTTCCTGACTTCACAGCATCTGGGCTTATCCCTTCACCAACAGGGAGTCAGGTCCCTTTGACATTTTCTCTATGATTCATTCAAAAAAGGTGTTTGAAAATATATTTAAGGAGTGGTTTAGGTTTTCATAAAAGTATAAGTGTTAGTTTGGAGTCAAGTGTTAGGGCAAACAATATGCCATATGAGCCTGCTTTTTCAAAAGTTTCTTTCCACTGAATTCCTGCAAGTTGCTTCTGTTTGTTCTTGGTTTTAAAGCAATTTCAAGCCCTGACTGGTGTAGCTCAGTGGACTGAGCGAGGGCTGTGAACCAAAGGGTCACCAGTTCGATTCCCAGTCAGGGCACATGCCTGGCTTGCGGGTCTGGGGGCCAGGTGAGAGGCAGCTGCACATTGATGTTTCTCTCCCTCTCTGTCTCCCCATCTCTCCAAAATAAATAAAATCTTTTTTTTAAAATAAAGCAATTTCAAGGAATTGCTGCCTAAGACATCTTAAAACGCATTTTGTTAATGTTCAAAGTTCTGTTCAAATTTTTATTTTCAGAGAAAACTACATGTTAAATAATAAATTTCTGGGCAATATAGAAAAGTAAGAAAAATAAAATAATAACCCATTAAAGCCCAGCACCCACAGGAAACCATTATTAAATAATACACACCCTCACACGCCAAATACATTTGTAATGACTGATTTGTGAGATATACTGTAGACGTTTTAACTGATAGGTTTTTAGCTCAGGTAGTATTATCTGCCATATACCATTTTAAAAACAAGCAAAAAGGTGGAAACTGTTAAACACATTTTCTTTTGTTTAGGCAAACTACATCCAAATATTTTGTACTCTATGTTCTTGGAAGAACACTGGTTTGAGGATGAGGGCAGCACCACGGCTTTCTGACTCTGGCTGTACTTCGGGAGACTATATCAGAGAACACGCCTGTGTCTCATAGAGGATGCTCATTCGTTCTGTCTCCCTGAGGTGATTACGAAGGACAGGACTGCACACTAGTGGCCTGCAGCTGCAGCACAGTGAGACAGGTCAGGCCAGGGGGGCAGAACTCAGAACAATGTGCCACTCAAGACTGAAGCATGCCTTGAAGACACACGCTATGATAAATTAATAGATAAATGAGATTTTTTTCATTGTTAAACTGGCAAAGATGCTTTTAAAGTAATAATACTCAGTGGTGAAAGTGAGGTCAACTAGCGTTCTCAAGTACTATCGAAGGGAAGGTAAATTGGACTCAGCTTTCTAGAAGACGATTTACTCCATTGGAGTAAAAAGTATCTTAAGAATGTTCATCCCCTTCAGACCCAGTGACTCCAATTCTGGTGATATACTCTAAATAATAAGAATTGTAGCATAAGAACATTCACTAGGATGTCATTTATAAAGGTGAAAAAACAAAACAGTTTAAGCAAAAATAGAGTATAAGAGATGGGCTAAATACTTAAGAATAATATAAAGTGGAAATTATCAAATCATTCAAATTATTTTTTACTCTTAAAATGAAAATAATAAAATGAATTACTATCTTCCTATTTTTAGACAAGTAGTATATATGAGGTCTGTCCAGAAAAAGTCTAGTTACAGTTAATATAATGAGAACAATTGGTGCAACATTGATGTAACCTGGCAGCCAAGGAGAGTGGACTGGAATGTGCATGTGTGAACAATGACCACTTCACTGTACTAGTCTGTGGGAGAGGTAGATGACATTGAGTGAGCTGCATAGCTATCACATTCAAAATGACTGAGCGAGCAGAGCAACAAATCTGCATCAAATTTTGTGTTAAGCTTGAACATTCCTCCATGGAAACTATTTGGATGATTCCAAAGGCTGTAGCTATGGGCAACTGGTGATGGGCAGCTTCATCATGACAATGTGCTGTTCGTGCATCATGTCTTATGTAGATGTTTGTGGCAAAACATCAAATCACTCAGGTGACTCAAGCCCCCTAAAGCCCAGATTTGGTGCCCTTCTGGCTTTTCCCCAAACTAAAATCACCTTTGAAAGGGAGGAGATTTCAGACCATTGATGAGATTCAGGAAAATACAACGTGGCAGCTGATGGTGACTGGGAGAACTGTGTGAGGTCCCAAGGTGCCTACTTTGAATGGGACAGAGGTGCCATTGTCCTATGTACAATGTCTCTTGTATCTGGTATCTACTTTGATAAATGTCCCTATTTTTCATGATATATGACTGGATACCTTTTGGACAGACCATATATAATATATATACATGCATATATATATATGCCTATGTACACAAATATATATATAGTGTTTTATATATATGTAGGTTAATAATAAATACAATAATAAATAATAATTATACAAGAATAAACTCTCCGTTTTGTGAATT